CTTTTTTTTTGTGTGTCCACGCGCCAAGTGACCAATTAAAGTGAACTGCAAAAAGTCTTCGACTCACACAACTCACAACTGACCCCCTGCCCCACAGCCGAGCCATGTACCGCAGAATGTCTTCGCTTCGTCTTTGCCCGCTGAGATTCAGCTGACAGTATGGCATTGCATGTCCTTGCTCCTGCCTGTTTGCTTAGTTATAAAATCATTTTCAGATTTCTAATGATGCTCAGCAGCATGGCCACGGTTATGAAGCCCGCGCGCAATGAAAGAGCAAACTAAATTAGCGCCGCGAGCCGCTCCAGCAACAGTCAACAGTTGCGCCAGAGTCATAAATATAAGTTGGCCCGAACTAATATGCCAGCACGTTTATGTGGCCCACAAATCTTGAGCAAAGTAAGCGCGCGGCCTCCACAATGGAAACGGAATATTCCGGTTGCCGGTTCAGAGCCCTAGCCGCTACACCTTTGACTGTTTGCTGTTGTGACTTCTGCTCCATTGTAAATACCCTGCACAATAGATTAAGCTATTTCGGCCTGACTTTTAAAGCAGTTTATTGTCTCATATAAATGAAATGATTTTAAAAGGAACTAATTTGCTCAGTACTTTAATATTTCTTGTTAGATTTGGAGTTTTAAGGAGCTTTAAGTTAGATTCTAGCTTCAAAGTAAATTTAGAAATCTTTTATTTAGTTTTTCCAAATAATATTAATTATCTATTATTTAATTATTTCTTTAATTATTTTCAAATTTTAAATAAGTGGGCTAGAGGAATGTTTTTAAAGGGTAACTTTAAGTCTATCATGCAGTGCTCTTCTATATATTTCGCTTTTGCTCTTCTTGTTTTATCGTATGTTTGCTGTTTGTTGCCAACACACTAATTACCGCAATTAATTATGCTGCCTGCTGAACAAGTTCTCTTTCTCTCTCTCTCTCTCTATCTAACTCCCTGCTCTTTCTCCCTTCTCTTTCACTTCATCGAGAGGAGAACTTTTTGCTGACTTTTTTTGTTGGTTGGCTTAAATTTTGACTGAAAGTTGCGCCTAAGCTGAACGTGTTTGCATATAGTATTTCGTGTGTGTGTGTGTGTGTGTGTAGGCTTGTGCCTGCATTCCCTGATGCACAATTTAAACAGCTTTTATTCAGAGACTTTTCGAACTGGAATGCGTTTGTGTTGACTGCTCAAAGAGCATATCAAATGCGCAGCGCACCAATTAAATTAGTTAGCTGAAAAACTCTAAAAAGCTGGCTTTTATGCTGTAAATATATATAAATATATATATTTATATATATATATATGCTTAACAGCATTCATAAATATTATATAAGTATGGTCTTTGCTTCAAGAAAGGCCAGCACAATATCTTAAAGTCCAGCGACGAAGCTCCTCCAGTCTGAGTCTTTCACGCTATGCCCCACTTTCTCGCTCTTCTCTCTCTCTTTGTCTCTGTTTCCACTCATTTTCAATTTTTTGCATACTTCCCTCTGTTTCTCTGCTTAACGGAAACGAACTGCAAGTCCAAGCCGAAGCTGAAGAGGCAGTTGCAAATAAATTGATATCAGCTTGTTCCCAAATTTAAAATGGTATGTGATACACACACACACCCATACACACACACACATGTATGTTGACTATCGATGCAGCGTATGAGAAAAGAGTGGAAAAAACTAGCGCTGACACAAAAATAGCATTGGCTTAATAAACTCGAACAGGAACTGAAATAGCAGCTGCAGTTTCCAATGCTGGCGATAGACTTTATGCGGCGAGACTGAAAAAAAAACAAAAGCAATGGCACTGAGAGTGATCTGAGCGACACTGCTAGACTGCGAGATATGCTATGTTAGTACACATACAAACAAGAAAGGGAATAGAGGAGTATAGAAGAGGAGTATGTCGTAGGGTGTCCACATAAGAATAATACTATATTAAATATATATATTTCAGCAAATGTTGCAGTTATTGATATAATTTCATTTTTTAAATATTAAATTATATTTGCCATTTAATTCTGAGTTATATTATGCTAGCCAAATATATGACTATGCCAAGATGCCATCAACTTTTATGACACCCCTTGTAATCCTTATCAATTTACAGGGTGTGCAACAAAAGCAAGCGCCGTCGATTTAGGCTAAAAGCGTGCAGCTCGCTAACGCCATTTAGACCCAAAAAAAAAATGAAAAAAAATGAAGTCAGATTTTTATTTTTGTGCTGCAACTCGTTTTGCCTTAAAGAATTTTAACGTTTGTTTAAATGAGAGTTGCAAAAGTGTGGCCCAGATGGTTTGCACTGACATGGGCTCATTATACGCTTTGCCTTTGACAGTTGAATGCTGGCTGTGGATTGTTGATTGTTGAGCGATGTCCGCCCGGTTTAACAAATGGCTGCCACATTTTGTGGCACGAACGCAATAGCGAGCCAATGCAAAACAATTACACAAATGTCAGGCAGCTGCTGCTGGTGCTTCTGCCGCTGTCCTGATGGTAATAGCAAATGCTTATGCCCGATTGTCTGATGTCTGATGCCTGACGCTATTATGACGCACAAATAGAATTGTGTACAACGAAAAATAGTATTTAACGCGCGGTTTGGCAATAAATGTCAGTCGGGGCCAAGGCCCGCAATATGGCTGCTGTCGTTGTCATTTTTCGCTTTCCCATCCGCAGTGCCATCCGCATTTGCGCTGTTTGCCATTCATCTGATTTATGTGGCTGTCAACGCGACCCCAGGAGTTTACCATCAGTCGATGCTAGTTACAGAACCAGAACCAGAACCTGCAGCTCTTCTCTACTCTCCCTATCTCTCTCTCTCTCTCTCTCTCTCTATGGACCAGCCGCAGTTGGCATATGGATACGGCAACGTGGCTGATTGACAAACCTCTATTTGCCAAAATGAACCGTTTGACATGCGGTTTGACGGCTCTTCTGGCCACAGCGGCTGCCTCGGCTCTGGACCACTGCACCAGCTGCTGGCTAAAAATTGCTTTTGTGCCGGGTGCAAACAATTTGCTTTGATTGCAATTCCAAAGCTTTGTATCGCCCACGTACGCATCAAGAGTCACGCCAGGCCCCAAACAGTTTTCACAGCAAATAAGATGGTCAAGAGCATTAAAACTTGTGGAAAGTTTCGACATTTTCAATCTAAATTAACCGCTTCTAATGTGATGACAGATAACACTGAAATCGTTGGAAAACTCACTAAGGCAGCAGAATTTCTGATAGATGTTGATGCATAGGCCTTCGCCCCATTATTAATTTATGCTATGATCAGATTAACAAAAAAAGTCTTGAAGGCACTCAATGCAATCAATATTTGAAGTGAATATTAAATTTCTTATACCCTCAATTGCAAATATAAAATAAGAGTATAATTGTTTTGTTAACATGTATGTAACAGGCAGAAGGAGGCGTGGCAGACCCCTCATAGTATATCTATTCTCGTTCAGGACGACAAGTCAAGTCAAGCCCTGTCCGTCTGCCCATCTGTCCGTCTGTCGTATGTGTGCACTTATTAGAGACTATATATTGAGCACATATACTCCCGATCAAAATGACAAGTTGTATGTATATATGGAAGCGGAAGGAAAGGCGAACAGATAGAGCTAGCTAACGAGCTAGCAACATAAATGCAAATTCTCACTCAAAAAGGGCTCAGCAGAGCTCTGCTGGAGTCGCCGTTTGAGTGACTTTTGGGTATAAAAGGGCGCAGCAGCGGCTGTGGCGATCAGTCAAGTTTAAGACCTGGACTAGGTCAGTCGTGTGCAGTGCAGTGCAAGTGGTGAATAAATTTAAGTTTTTTTTGTTAAATTGTTTAAGTTTAAATAATTGTTTATTATTTAAATATATATTTAAGTTTTTTTTTGTTTGATCATTGTCTATTTGTTTAATTTAATATTTAATTGTTAAAATGTAAAAAATATAAAATGTTTGTATTATATAATTATTATTAATAAATACAAATTGTTATTATAATAATGAAGTTGATTGTAATACTCATAAGCGATAATGACCATTCGAAATAATGATCATTTATGTTTCTGGTTATTACTGATAACTATCATTAACGATAAAGATCATTAGTAATGTGGGTTTTTATGATCATTTTCGTAATGCTAATTGAGTTAAGAGTCAAATGTCACGCTGCTGTGTTCTCTTTGAAATTGTTAATAACTCAGCCTACTATTATTACATATTGTATAAAATAAATAATATTTAAGAGTAGTTTAAATCATTTACCTCCTTGTGATATAGTTAAGTTATTTGCAAAGTGTGTTTAGTGCTTGTCGTAGGCAGAGAATCTTTTCTCTTAATTTTCATTTTTAGAAAATTATATTTTTGTATATCTATATGAAATATTTACAAAGGCACATACATGCAAAAAAAATGTCAAAATATAAAAAATATATTTATGTTTAGCTTATATCATTTGTTGTATAATGTTAAGTGTGAATATCGATTCTCACTGTAAAGTTAAGTATCTGTTAAGTATGTATCGATTGTATAATGTTAAGTTCGATCGGACTTCGGTCTCTTTTTCCGGTTAAGCTGAAATCGACAGACGTGGCCGTGGCCTTAAAATGAATAGCGAAATTAAGAACAGAAGCCATCACCAATCTCTCTAAAAAATGTAAAAAAAGAAACAGTTGATTTTAATACCTATATTTAATGTACTTCAAGAATTATTTATGTATTTTTAGCTACATATAGGAATTTGTGGGCTCTAACATGTTGATATACCCTGAACCCGTAAATGAAATTCTGTGTTGAATGCCAGACAGCGAGTCTTCGAGTCTTGATGTCTTAATGTTTTTATTTTTCTCTTTGCTGATGCTCGATACAAGCTATGGAAAATGTTAAAATAACGCAGATATGACTGGGTTCAGAGCATCACCTAGTTGGACATATCGTCTAGAACTTGCTGACTTGTTATGGATAATATTTGTATATAACTTAACCAAATCGAGTGATTCGTAACCATCCCATCCCACTTAAAAGCTCAAATTCTGGCTAAAACCCGTATACCTTCTGGGCTATTTATTCTCTGTCAAAGTCATACTTAAAAAGAATACACTTAAATTTGGAATATGCAAAGATTGTGACAGATTGAGCAGCTACTGAGCGTATTTTGCTTATTTTGTAGTTGTAGAAGAATCGTCATCCTCGAATTCAGAGGCGGAGGAATAGTCCATGAGGGAAGTGATGCGTAATTTGCGTACTGGATACTTGGTCTCCGTATCTGCTAGCACTATGGAGCTACTGTAGGAGTTGATTTCACGAATTACTTCAGATAAGCTCATCTTGGGTTTACAAGTACTTCCCGGGTTGGATTTCATAACTGTCAATGTCTTGCTTACTGAGTGGCCAGACTTGACGATATTGTTGGGTTTGGTCGAATGGAATTGCAGCTTTGGTTGGACTTCCTCGAAAATTTTCGATTGGCAATCGGCGTCTTGATCCGATTCAACGGATCCTCGAACATCGGCTTGGTAGAATTCCGCTTCGTACTGATGACTGTGTGCCTTCTCATGGCACAGATTCTGTTGGCTATTATCGCTCAACATATCTCCTCCCGTTAGACGTTGTTTACGTATGAACTCGAAGTTAATGTTGCCAAATACCGAGTCCTTGCCACTGATAGTGCTCCGCTCATCAATAACACAGAACGTGAGTATTTCCTTAAACAGGCCCAAGCTGTTGGCCTCCCTGATGCCAGCATCGCTGACCAGCAAGCATCCCAGCACGGTGCCAGTTTCCAGATCCCTCACATTCACATGGTATACATTGTCCGCCCGCAATAGAATTGATAGCGCAATATCGCCAAAAGATCGTTTGCCTATCATCTTGAAGAGTGGGTACTGCATGGTGCTAATAACGGGCAGATCACTGTCCTTGCAGAATTCACACCTGCTCGAATGCGTGCGCTCCAGCGGGGCATTGCCTTCATCTATTGGACTTTCCAGACAAGTCGACGTTTGTTTGGTTGGGCTCTTAGCCGGATTTTCCTTTCCACACTTAATTTGGTTGGTCGTCTCGTTTAGTGTTTTAATATTTTCGCAGAGCTGTTTCAATCGATCGTTCATCGTATTCAATATTCGCTTTTGATCGATTTCCATTTGAATCTGCCGCTCCAGTTTTTTCGTAAGGGCGCCTAATTCATTGGCGATTTCAGGTAATTCCTCGCATTCGGCGCTCTTTAAGACTTCCTGCTTTTCCGCCAGATTTGCTCTCTTGGTTGATAAACTTTGACTCGATGGACACCCAGGCACGACCATTGGCGAAGCAGAGGAAGTATTTGAGTCCTTCGGTGGCATTTTAGTTCGTAACTCCTCTTTAACCAAACAGCATCTGAAACGCGTCTTGGTACTAGACCCATGGGTACATTCGGGAGTTCGCTTCGAACGCACAACTATAATAGGTAATTTACATATGTATTTGTTTTTCCCTTTGGACTTCTGTCGGTCTTTCGCCTTCTCGGCGCCTTCGTCCTTTGCTCTCGACGACACAGTCTCCTTGCTCGGCTTTTCGGGGCAGGGAACTGGTCGACGATTGTCAGCCATCGACCTGCACATGGGTATTTTAATGTATGAGGTGGGCAAAGAATTCCTAGATGTAGCAAAATGTCCAGCCCGCAAACGGTCAAAGCTTTTATGTTGTCTTCGCGAAACATATTGCTCGAAAACTGAGTAATTTAAGCGCTCTGCGCGAATTCGTGCTCTTAAATATTTTTCAAAAGCGCGCGCAGCTTCTGTAGGAGAATACAAATCGCAGACTCGAATCAAATCAAATTTCTTCGTATTGAACTACTCACCCATTATTTTACTTAACTCTAAATTTGTCTATTTTCTCAACAATTTTAACTCCAACTACTCTCATCTGCCCCAACTGAGTACATTTGACGTTTCGCCGCTTGCTTTGTATCCAATTTCAAATGAATGAATTTATTTTCATTGCCTTCTGACAGCCTCCCGCCCATTTGCTCTTCAAATATTTCCCAGCAGCTTCTCAAGCCTTTGTCAATTTATGTTTCTGACTGGTTTGACAGCTCGTTTCCACCTTTTATTTCAAAGCCTGAATTCTCAAGTAGATTTAAATTGACGGCCAGTCCAAAAATGCGACAGCAATAAGCAAGGCATTTAAGCTACAAATTGGTCAAAAGTCCTGGCATGAGAACGATGTTCAAAAGGCAAATTACTAGCTGAAGTGAAGCAGTTAACTTGTTAACTTGTATTCAATTTAATTGGAAATAGCTAACGTATTTGTTTATAGAAAACATACTTCGTATAACAAATGCTTTATTTGACACAAATGCTGCAAGGTCAAGTGGGGACAAGATGCCCCCTTCGGGCTAGGGACAACGCAGAACAAACCTTTGCTGCGAAAGTTGATTAGGCGAACGAAAAGGGCAGCAATTATTGATGAGGCCAAAGTAGAGAATGTAATAAACCAAATCTGCAAAGGAATCAGGCCCAGTTCCAAGATGGAAGGCAGCACAAGATGTAGAAGCAGGAAGCAGCATGTGTAGGCTGACACACACACACCTACACACTCTCACATACACGCTAAGTTTGCATAAAGATGTTTCACAATAAATTTGTAAATTCTATATATATATTTTGTAGGCAAAAACAAATAGTCAAAGCATCACTTTTAAATATTATATTTACGTTTATTTATTTTTCGCTCAGTTGGCACACAAAACCACAAAACATTTAAATATTGGCAACATTTTTACTTGAGATACATATATTTTATTTATGCAATCCAATTTTTTACGAAATCTGTTCTATGTCTATTTGCTTGTTCTATTTATTTTTACTTTGTTTCAAAACAATGGACTGTTTTCATATTTTATTTAGTTTAACTTTAGTTTGTTTAGCTTTCATACGCATATTGTGTTTGTTAAGCTCAATTTTGTATATGCTTCATAATATGATTTGTAAGCGGATTTGGGGATTTGTATTTTGAAAGGATTAGAAAGTAGGTGTGTGGTTAGATTTGATAGTTGAGTTGGATTTACGTGTGGATATGATAGATAAATGCAAGGATTTTTTACACAGATTAGTTCGAGGCTGAATGTTAAGAGAATTGAGGAAGAATTTATTTAGATTTAGTTTTTAGATAGTTTTGTTCATATAGTGAAATTTAGTATATTATTTAGTATACGCTTTAAAAGTTAAAGTTTTTCTATGTCTGCTTAAACTAAGCGCCCAGCGTCTGAATCGAAATAGTTTGTTATAAATTTTAGCTAATTTGCTGGGCTTGCAGATAAACTGAACGAAACTCTTTATAAACTTAAGCTTAAGAGCGGTTATATTAACAACTTAGTAGATTAAATAGTAGACGTTACATAACACGAGCAGCGATCGGGCAGCAGACACTAAGGAGGTTAACGTGGCGACGCCTTAAAGCTAGACAAAGCACATGGAATTCTTGGGGGAGTGGAGCACGTCGACTCACAGCTTTGCAAGCATTCAATGGCCATGCCGCAGCAGCAGTGGATGCAGCAGCAATACAAACAGCAGCGGATAGGTAGTTGGCCATATAGAAGCGGCCGAAACACGCGGCTCCAGAGACAGAGTCTTGCACTTCTCCACTTTGGTATAGTCGCTGAAGCCGGCCAGATTACGCGAGGCAGCGCGTATCAGATAGACGGTATCCGGCTCTAGGTTCGTTATGAGAAAATTGGCACCTGGCACAAGGAGAAAAATGGCGAAAATGCCGTAGTTGAATAATGGCGTTGGGCTGATGCAGCTGGCTGCACTTACCCTCCTCGTAGGGGAAATCCTTGCGCTTGGCATTCGTCCATTTGCCCGCATCCGTTTTGAACTCCAGCTCCGTCATGTACTCAATGCGGAAGCCATTCACGTCCATAGGTCCGAGCTGATCCTTATCCCTCGGTGCGCTCAAATCAACATCAAAAGTGTTCGAGTTGTAGCCACGCAGCTGGAAGACGAGCGGCGGCGGTGGCTTCTCGCCCTCATCGAGTCGCGTGATGCGCTCAATGCTGCCCAAATGATTGTGTGCGAGGCAGCGATAGTTGTCAAAAACTTTGGCATCTAACACGCGAATAGTTAGACGCGACCAATAGTTATCCGACTCGATGGTGTAGAGCTTCTCGTTGCTCTCCAAACGCTTCTGTTTGCGGTACCAGCTGAAGGTGGCTGGCGGCTCCGCCTGCGCCTCGCACATGATGCTCGCTGTGCCATTGATGTACGCGTACTGGAGGCCCACATGCGGCTTCAGCGTCCAATGCGGCTTATCTAAATGCATGAAATTAAAGTTCAAGTTTTTCATTCGAATCAATCAAGCGATTTCAGTTTCCATTGCCCCCTTCAGCTGGCGCCCAAAAATATGCTATGAAATAGGCAACAACTCATGCACTTTTGGCATAAATCAAATATGGCCGCCAAGTAAAGTCATTAGCAACATGTGCGCCACGCCCCCACCCCACCCAGCTAGAGCATAAAACATATGCGAGCCAAGCGTATGTAATTTTAAAATATTCTCGTGCTCCAAAAACTATTTGCCGCTAAACGCGCTGCATACTAAAACGCACACAAATTTTAGAGGCGCTCGTAAAGCTGCTCAAGTAATTTCCCTGCCATTCAATACAAAAGCACAGTGGGTCGAAATATGTGAAAATGTGAAATTCATTTTCAAAAAACTTTTAAATGAATTATGTGATTTAATTGAAGCTGCATTTTTAAAATGTTCATTCTCAATAACTTAAGCTGAGACTTAATATAAATTTTTTTTTAACAAATACACCTTGGAAATATAATCATAAAAAAGACATTCATAACATGCTAAAGAAGTTAAGAAACTAAAAAAGCCTTTGTTAATGAAAACAAAGCAGAACAAGAAGCCAAGTCTCAGAATTTCATAAGCTTCAGACCAAAATCTTACCTTATAAAACTTGTAAATATTTGTTACAAAAATATGAAAGAAAAAACATTATATTCTAAATTGAAAGTTAAGAGCTTAGAGCGAATATAAATAAATGTAAATATATTTAAAATTATAAATTAAAATATTTCCTATAATTTTATAATATTTGAATATATATTATTTTAATTAATTTTTTTGTTTAATATTATTAATTTTAATTTTTTTGTTTTTATTTTTTAATATTTTTTGATTTATTATATTTATTTTTATATAAGACTACTTGTAGAAGATTCAAGCACAGATTTTTATTCATCTTATTCACGTATCTAGTAAGTATCTTAGTTACTTAGTTAAGCTCTCTAACGAGCTGTCTTAAGTCGATTTTATAATCTAGCTAACAATGCTAAGTATTTGACGAATAGTTTAGTATTCAAATATTTTAAGCTATTATGAATTTATTTTTCAAAATTTTATTTAAATAATACCTCTATTAAAGCTTCCCTCGATTTCAGATCAATTACTTAAATATATATATATATATATATATATATATATATATATCACAAAAAATAATATCTATATTTTATTCCTCTTTTTTTCTCAATTTGCCCACTGTGCATTATCTTGTACGAGTAATAATCATAAATTTATCATATTACATCATTTTTGCTGCTCTTTTTTCGCTTAATTTTCACAACTTTTTGGCCAATGTGCATTATTATGTTGTATGAGTTGGGAAAAATCATAAATCACACTCACGTTCGATTTTCATCAAAACTGTGCGCTCCTGCATATCGGAAGCAATCGAATTCACTTGGTATGCCCGGCACGTGTACTCGCCGGTGTCACTCTGTGTTACCTTGTTGATGAGCAAACCATCCGCCAGGATGCGGAATTTCGGGGCGTTTGCTGCCGAAAATGAGAGCGAAACATGATAAACGCGTGCAGCAAGAAAACAAAAGTACAAAAATATCGATAGACAGAGCGAGAGAAGGGAGAGAAAGCTCATTACAGCTCTGCCAACTCACCATCCACACTAATGGGCTGTCCATTGAAATGCCAGGTGACATTCGGTTGCGGCTCGCCCTTTACCTCGCACAATATCGTAGCATTTTGACCTTCCTTTACAGTTTTAACCGTATCCTTTTCGGTGAACGTAATTTTCTCTTTTTTTTTTTTTTGTGGTCAACGGGAAAACACACAATGAAAAATTAATGAATACGGTTGTTGGCTTGCCATTGTGATCTGTGTACTTACGATATACAATCAAATCGAACGATTTACTATGCAGTCCCCCTTCAGCAGCTTCGCATGTCCAATTGCCCTTGTCCGCCAGCGCGATGTGCGCAAAAACGATTTTCAATTGTTCTATGTTTTGTTGTAAATAAAAAGAGTACGAATAAAGACCAATATCAAATGAAAGTAAGCAGCGAAGAGCAACTTAGTGCTCGACTAAAGCTGGATTTTGTTACAGCACTTGAGCTAAAGTACAACTGGCTTATCTCTAATTGAATATTTGTTTGTAAAGGATATGGCACTTGTTTTTATTAAGTGCTCTTTTTATTGATATTTTAATAGCTTTTCACTGGACTGAATATTATAGTTTAGATTAAGAAGTGAGCCTAAAAGAAAGCGGACCTTCGCTACCTTCCTGACTTGAGCTCTGCTTCGCGTGTTTGACTAACCTCAATTTTTTCAAACTATCCTAATAAAGCCTATTTCATTTTTTCTATCTATGTTTGATCTGGATGATTTCTTGTAGCTTCATCCATGAGCCAAGCCAGTTATATATGCTACTTCTTTTTCTGGTAAAGGCTTCAAACCTATTTGAAGCTTTACATAATCTGATCTATATCGTGCTCTTGGGTTCCACTAAGGACAACCGATATCAAAGTTATATTGAAGCTATTCCGGACTCAAGTGTGGACTCTTGAACCCGCCTAACCTCATGCTCACTGCTTTGAACTTTGATCTGTAACTTTTCTTCGAGCTCTTTTTTTAATGGTGAAACTTCTAAGCCTTTTTGAAGCTTTGATTGATCTGAATTCTAGCTAAAGCTTGGGCTCCACTAAAGACGACTAACATGAAGGCTAAAATGAATCTAGTTCCAGCTCAAAAGTTTCTGTATATGATGCAAACATATTCGTTATATTAGGCAGCTAGCTAACTAATACAAAAAACTAAAGCTAAAGCTAAAGTCACTTAATCAAGCTCAAAGTCTGCTAGTCAAGGCACATATCTTCAATAGTAAAACCCGCCTTCAGACCTAATACATTTTTCCTCAACTTAATTGAAGCAGCCCACATGCTCGCTTTGTTAGCTCTAGTATGTCCAAAGGGGTTACAATTCTATTTGCTGGGTAAACGTTCACAGCGTTCATTATGTTATAGCTCAGCTTAGCCCAGAGAGCTCAAAGTAAATTGAATAAAAAAATAGAAGGAAACTGCACTTTGAGTGCGTGTAAAACGTTGCAATTAATTTTATTTATTTGTTCTGCCTGCTGGGGCGCAGGTCCTTGGCTCAATTGGTTGCAAGCTGTTGGCTGTTGTTGGACTCACCTGGCGCCGTTTGCTCGATGTGTATGCGCCCTTTGTGCTCGCGTATTATTTCGCCTTTCGGCGATTTCCAATGCAGCTTCACATCCGGACCGGGGCCGCGACACTCGAGTATGAGGGACTCGTTGGTGTAGCGCACGACGCTGTGCTCGCTCGGACTCAGCGTCAGGCTGTCATGGTGATTGGCCAAGACGGCAGCTGTAGCATAAAGGCGAAATCAATGGGGTTTCAAACACATTAGTTAATGGTTCGTTAATTGCAACTGCAGCTGCACAAAAGGCAGCGCATTTCAAATGTAAATTGAAAACTTCTGCGCCAAAGTTTACCCAGGCCCCACTCAGCCGCTCCTCTTGAAGTTTGTAAATTTTTCTTTGCCAACTACGCAAATGGCGCAATACATTATAACTTATACACACACACACATGCATATATTCGTCTGTTAATGTATTTCGCTAGCAATCCCAAAGGTCACATTTCAAACTTGCTCCAGCGAAAACTAAATGTCAACTGAATAATAAATGTTTTTCTATGTTTCATATTTCTGATTGCAGACAGAAGAAGCTGCACATTTGACACACCCACTTATCGTTTAGGGCTGTCGTCAATATTCTAATGATAATTGCCGAGAAGTCTGACATATTTTTCATTTTAAATTCCCTTAGGAACATATATTGAATATGAAATAAACTATGATTGAACGAAGAGCCAAGAGAGGTCATAGAAAAAAAGCTGAAGACATAGCTAGAGGATGTATGTGTTGTATGTATATATGTTTGAATGTATGTACTTATGCATAGTTCAGTTTTTTATTATGTGTGCTTAAAGACTAAAATATCGAGGCAAACATAAATGTCTAAGGCCTCGATGTTGGGTACATAATGTAACTTTAGCAACATAATTATTTCTAAGATTCAGTAAAATAAATCATTATACTCAGCCACATTTTTAATAGAAAATTCAAAATTGACAAATTGAATTCCATTATCAATTAAATTATGTAACTTGATTATTGAAATACTCTTTGGCTACTCAAGCACCATCTTCACTTAAATTGTCGGCAGCAGATGCTTTTGAAGTAATCAAGTATTGCTCATGTTTATTAATGTGATGCAAATTTCACACAAACTGCAAGAAATGAGAAAATGCAATTTGTGTTAGATTGCAATTACCGGCTAATTGGCCGTGTGGGCAACAATGCCGAAAATATGTTGCTGTTGCGTAATGACATTGTGCAAGTAGTTGCTGCATGCCACATGAATCACTCAACTTTGATTCATATTGAACAACAAAGTGCACTCAAATTATTTGCATTTTGCATGCCACACATTTTCATATTTTCATTCAACGCTCGTTCGCCGAGGCTGGCGTAGCTGCCGCCTTGGCAGGTTGTTCATTGAAATTTATCACAAGAAATTGCAATTTCATTCTGCCGTTTCATGTCAATCTGTTCAACAGCAACAACAAATACCACTACTACATCAGCAACAAAAAAGAAATGTGTATTCCTCCTGCCCCTGGTTAGGGCAACAGAGCGATGCATAGATGCAAAAATTTCTAGCATACTTTTTAATAAAGTTTCTTGTATGCCCAAAGTGCCAGAAAAAGGAACAAAAACAAAGTAAGATTCAGCAACAGGACACAGGGGAAGGGAATGTTGCAAGGGCTTGCAAAAGTTTTGCATAGATTTTCTTTATACGTTTTTCAGTTTTCTTTTTCATTGTTTTTTTTTCAAAGAAGTTGCAATTTTATTGGCAACAAAATGGCCATGTTGAAGCAAAGCCAGCTACATTATGTATACCAGCAAATTAAACATTTTCCATATTTAATTTTCAGTGAATTACTATAGGAATTTTTAAAAATACATATACATTTTTTTCGCCTTTTATATATACTAAAATAATTCGTTTTAGCGAGCGAACTAGACATACAATTTGTAAATTTTGCAGGCTTGATTATTACTAATCAACATCCCTACAAAATATCTGCAGCTTAAATATTTTACCATTTTAAGAACCAGCCTGAGCTCTCAATAACAGACTTTGCTATCAACTGTCGGTTCGTGAGCCTCGCTTACCAACAACCGTCATGTTGTTGTTCTCATGCACTGACTAGATCACTTCAATAGAATTCTCCAAGGTTCGAGCTCTACTTAGCTCTCAATAAATACTTCATATTATTTACTTTTAATGCATCACATGATCATTGCTAATTAAGACAAAAATAAAGAAAAAATAAATGAAAGTAAATTTAATTTTTAAAATAATTTGTCAATATTTTATTATTTAAATTATAATTAAGCTTTAAGAATATGTTTTTACACACATATGTATTTACTATTGTCCACCAATGGCTTTCTGCACTCGCCAAGCAAAATAAGAGACTTGCGAAGAGGTAGTTGGATATGCATCAGTACACATGCGTATGCACACACATATATACAAACAATCACACATACGTACGTATTTGCATAACACCTGCAGTCGACGACGCATGCCTTTGGTGAGGGCATGGAATTGTTTGCTTATTTTGTGAATGCTGCTGTTCGTGTTGTTGTTCTTGTTGCTGTTGTTGCCTGTCAGCGTTTTCGCTATCTGGAATGGCTACGTCAACTGCGCGCAATACGCGAAATACTCATCATAAAATTTCATGTGCACTACGTAGACGCGGCGCAGGCGAACATAATGACAGGCAGTACAAAAAAAAACAGCAAGAACAAACGACAAGCTGACTGCAAAAGCCAGCAAAAATATTTTTAAAAAAATAAATACATAAAAAAAATAAGAAATACGGAAAAGCATTGCCAAGTGCGGACAAAAAGAAACGGTTAACGTTAACGCGTTAACGGTAAATGGCAACTGGCATTGCCAGAAACGAACAACAAAATTATCTGTCGCACTCTCGCTGGCGCATTGCTCGGTGGCCTCTATAAATGCTTATGTTATGCACTCTTTCGCAGCACGAATGCGGGCGCAAATGTAAGTGCAAAAATGCAGACAACTATGTGCGAGAGCGAGTAGGCAACAGAAAGAGACCGAACAGATAAGATGACAAGTGAAAAGAGTGTGAGAGAGACCACAAAATAAAAAAAGAATTACATAAAGAGCATAATTATAATTCAACTATTGACGACTGAATACTCTGCGTGGATAAACTATGATACGTAAAACTATATTTAAAATGTAAATAATTTTTATATGATAAATATTTTTCTTGCCTTGATCATTTTATGAAATATGCACAATTTTGAATCAAATAATCTTAAATAAATATGTAATTAGTATATAAAGTGCTTCGCCAAAATAGACAAGTTAATAATGCTACCCTCCTTAGAGTATAAATTATGCAGGAATGCTTGCGTTGTCGGCTTCTGAAATGACGTGTGTTTCTGTACCGGCCGGTTTTGTGTGTATGTGTGGGTATGTTTAAGTAAATGTATTTATACAATGTGTGAGTGAGTGCGTGCCCCTGGGAGGTGTTGACCCGTAAATTTCATTAAATGCAATGCATTATATTATTTGCCTGCTGGCATTTGCCATTAAGCATTCGTGTGTATTTGTGTGGCCAAACGCATGCATTAAATGTATCTGTATCTATAAATATATGTGGTATATGTAACTGCCTGTAAATGCTTTTAAGCAATTAATTGCAGTTTAAATAAATGGTAATTAATTTAAAGAGATATTAATGACTGCATAATCGAAAAAATTCTCATTCTCCAAAGGTTCGGTCAGAGGCTATAAAAGTCATTAATTAAATACAGATATCTTTAATATAAGCCAAAGCCAAAAGCTAAACTCAGCAGAGCTTCAATTTATTGGATTGATTGAATTTATGAAAGATTAATTTAAATATAAAATTACGTGCGGAAAGTCAGCATCGTCACAGATCTGTAATATTATTCAAAAGTTTCAAATTATCTACAAAACTTTACGATTACATAATGTTTCTCGAGACTAAGAAGACTTTGGGACTAAGTGTAAAATTTAATTTTCTTTATTTTTTCCGTTAATTTGATGAACTTTTAACAAATTATAAAATGTCAGCTGTATTGAGTCTCACAAAACTTTTCAATTTCCATTAGCTGCGCAGTGCAAAACTTTTTAATTATTTGCCAATATTTTATAGGCATCAAAAGAAAAAAAAAACAAACGTGAAAAATTTGCCTGCAAAATTGCAGGAAACTTTTTGCATGTGAAGCTGGTTGTTGTTGCTGATGTTGTTTTAAAATTGTTGTTGCTGTTGATTACAGCAGAAAATAAAAGTTTGACTGTGGCAGTTGCTGTTGCACGCATGCTTTCAACTTCAACTGCCAAAGTTGCAATGCTGCAACTGTAATCGAGAGCAGTTTGCGACGTGGTCACAGGGTTACGAGGGGCTTAGTTATAATAATGTCAGCATAAACGCATATGAAGCACACTTAACCCAAATTCAAGGCGAGGTGACGCAAAGATACGCAACTTGCAGCTTGCCGCTTGCCCTCGACTTGCATTTGCCATGCCACAAAGGCGAATAGAAATACTTGAGACTCGAGCATGCAAATAATCGCAGCATTTGTATGAGCCTGACCCATTTCTGTGGCAAGTTTCTATATACATACATTTACGTAATATAAATATACATATTTTTTTTTATTACTTCTCATAAGCTGCCGTCATGGGGCAAGGAATTTAATTCGAAATTCTCACACAAAACGTTGCTGCTGCTGCTGCTGCTGCTGCTGCTGAGGCACGTAATGCCAAAACATACATAAATCATCGCCGCGTCTCCGCATAAGAATATATTTCCGCTATAAAATGGACGTTTCCGCATTTTCGGCTGCCAAGCAACGTCGTTCTGCCTCCACTGGCTGCTGCAGCTACCAACTCTACCTTTGCTGCCGCTGCTGCATCCACAACAGGAAGTCAGCTTCAGTTCGGGCTTGTGCTTTGCTTTGTGGCAAGCGGAAATGCAGGTCGTAAAACTCGTTGCTACAGTTTCTCCAGGTAATTCTCGGTACTCAGTACACCTACATCTCTCCATTAGCTGCTTCGCGCTCTCCTCTGCTCCACTTCAGTGCTTGATGCTTTTTTAATAGGTTGCAGCTGACACTTGCTTCGACTGGCTCTCGCCTTGGACCAGCTAACAAAATTTACTTGGCCTGTGTCTTGCACTTCAAGCTCCTGTTTTACTATGGCAATTAATTTTTCTTCTATTTTTTT